TTTTTTGCATCCTCAGTCTTTGAACAAAAGTCAGCATATCATAGTAGCTCAGTAATGGTTGAATAAATTATTGAGTCTTATTTTAGGGAAGTAAGAAGGTAGGGCAAAAGTGGGGTAATAATTATTATAGCCAATAGTTACTGGTGTGTATCAGGCACTGTTTCAAATTCTTCATCATGTATCATGTCATTCAACACACGCAGTAACCCCACAAGGCAGTGTTGGCTGGTGGTGATGTCCATGAAGCAGACTCTGAAACAAAGTTTAGGGCACAGGATGTTCATTAGGAAGCACCCTTGGGATCCACATCCATGGCAGAGAGGGAGAGGAAGCAAGTTTGGGTGCAGAGAAGTGAGCCACAATGCAGGCCCAATGGCAGCCTCAGCAAACCCCATGGGGAGCTCTGAGACCAGAATGATCCCTCAGGTTGTCCTGTGTTGGACCAAAGTGACCAAGCCTTTATACTTCCTCTCACCTTAATCTGTCATAGATGTGGGTCCTCCTGGGCAAGGCATGACCTTGGGTGGGGCTGCTGTCTGGGTGTGTTGCCCCAGTGGGGTTGTTAGCTGACGGTTTTGTGCCAAAAGTGCTCCCAACTGCTGGGACATCTAGGCAGTGGTGTCCAACACAAGTAAGTAATGTTATTGACCCTTTACACAGATAGAGAAACTGAGGCACAAACACTTTAGATAATAGCCAATTAGGTCATACACTGAGTGACCAAACCGAGATCAAACCTGGACAATCTGGTTAGAGAGCCTGCGTTTCTGATGACTACACCTTACTCATGAGTAAGTTGCACAACTCTAGCAGTGGGCTATGGCCCCCTGCATGCCTTAGTAATGATGCAAAATCCTAACTTTGGAGAGCGTGAATCCATCCTTGCATGCATGGAAGTTCATCTTTATGAACTCTGAATCACTGCAATCAGGAACAGCAAAGACAGTATCAGGTGGGATACACGTAGAAAAACGTTGACACATATTTTACCCAGCATTATACTAGGCACCATGAATGATAAAAAGGAAGCATAACACATGGTTTCTTCTCAAGAGAAGCTTAGAGTTTAGGCAAAGGACTAAACCACAGACACATGAAAAAATTACTGGAAAAAAATCCCAGAACATTAATGAGTAAGTAGGAAATGATGGTTATGTTGGATAATAGTAAGACAGGCAAAGGGCAAGCAAGCCTTTAACAAAACTCCTTAATTAATACAAGGTTCCACCCTCTTTAACATTGAATGACTATGGGCCTTGGAACCCAAGGTAATAATAAATTATAAACTATAACCTAAGTGTAAAAAGGAACTAGGGATTGGGAAGGGCCCACATGCCTGAGCACAAAGAAGTTTTCAGGGCAAATTAAAATTCCCAGCTTTTGATGAGACCTCATTTTCTCTACCACTCTACTATCTTGAATTTTTATATTACCACCTATGGCTCCTGGGCAATTAAAGATATTTTAACTAACTCTTAGCCACTTTTTCTTTATATGGGTGAGAGCACTTAAAAATTGAAGAGAAGAATACTGTGGCTTATCTTACTGGTGTAAAGAGGAGGGTTTTCTTTATAAGAACTTTTATTTCATTCATTCAATAACTGTTTAATGAGTACTATCAACATTTGGGTAGTACTTTAGCATTGTGGCTTAAGAAAGAGCATAGGGGTCTGCCTTCGACTTGGGTCATGATCCCAGGGTCCTGGGATCGAGCCCCGCATCGGGCTCCCTAGTCCGCGGGAAGCCTGCTTCTCCCTCTCCCTCTGCCTGCCGCTCTGCCTATCTGTGCTCTCTCTCTATGTCTCTGTCAAATAAATAAATAAATTTTAAAAAAAGAAAGAAGAGCATAGGGTTTAGCAGACAGACTCAGTTTGAATTTCAGCCCTGCTCCTTATCAGATCTATGTCCAAGTATTTCTCTAATCCTTAGTTTCTTTCCTTGTAAAATGGGACCAATAGCAGTACTTGTCTAATAGATTGTGGTAAAAATTAAATAATTCTTGCAAGGTGCCTGAAACATATTAAGTGGTAACAGCTGGAGGAGAAGGAGTTTGGGCTAGATACTATGCTGGGCGCTGAGGATTCAATGATGAATAAGAAAGACAAAGAGCCCCTGCCTTCTTGGATCAGACAGGTAAGGTAAGCACACAAGGGAGACAGATAAGCAAGGTATTAACTGCTAGGATAAGAAAAATACAGTTTTATAGAACCATGTAGTACTGAGAAAGAGAGGAAAGCAAAGGAGTTCCATAAAGACTTCTTAGAAGAAAATGTCATCATAACCTTTAAAACTTATATTCTTTGCTGTGAGCTGTTTGGTTTCACCACCATAATAATGTAAGTTGTATGAGGGCAGGGACATTGTGTGTTGTGTATCGAACTCCTATTGTAGGGCCTGGCACATAAGAGGCACTCAAATACCGGCGGGGGATAAATGAAATGACTCCTACGATGGAAAGTAGGAGTTTGCCAGATAAGGAAGCCAGGAAAGGTGTTCCAGGTGGATGAAAGAGTGTGCATGAAGTTACTGAGATGAGGGAAAGCACGGTGAATGGGAGGAGCTGAAACACAATTAGGCTGGAAAGGTGTGTGTGGATGCCATGAGGGAGAGGCTTGAACAGGGATCAAATCAAGCAGGGCCTTCGAAGCCATGGTAAGGAGTTTGAACCTCATGCTAAGGACCAATGTGAAGCCATTAAGGATTTTAATCAAAAAAAGGATATAATCAGTGTGTGTTTTTTAAAGTTCATTCTTTGTTCTGTTAATACACTAATAATTCAAATACATTTTTTAAAGGACAAACAATGGAAACTACAGATAGGCATTATTAGAAAAAACAATCACCTATAATCTCATCACTCAGAGATAACCACCGTTGGGCTATAAATAACAAGCAACCTGTCTCGATTAACTATTGCTGTATAGCAAACCACCCCAAAACCTAGTGGCTTACAACAATTTATTATTTTCATGAGTCTGTGGCTTGAGTGGGATGTGCAAGGCGGTTCCTCAGCTCTGTGTGTTATAGCTGAGGATACCTCATTGCAAGGTGCAGTCAGCTGGGAGCTTAGCTGGCACTAGAACATCCAAGATGATCTCTCTTTCTCAAGAGCCTCTCTCTACCTGGCCTCTCATCTTTCAGTAATCCAACCTGAGCTTCTTTCCAGCATGGCGGCTGGCCTCCAAGGATAAAAGGGAAGCTGCCAGTCTTCTTAAAGCATAGGATTGGACATCACTGAACTTCTTCCACTGCACTTTAGTAAGCAAAACCAGGCACAAGGCCAGCTGAAATTCAAGGTGAACAGACTCCACCTCTTGATGGGAAGAGCAGTGTATATGCACAGGGATGGGAAAACCCATTAGCTATTGGGAAACTATCTACCACACAACCTGACTTGCTAAACACAACAACAGTAGGTTGTTGACCCATTTCTGGTACAAATAATTAGAAAAGCTCAGATCAAAAATGGCAAATGCAAAGTACATGGTCTTTGTTCATGTAAGAATCTGATAAAAATGGGTTGCCTAAATAAGCTGGCAATTTGTACACAGGGGAAGGTAGGAGGCAAGGGGGAGGAACACCATGGTAGAACCTAGTGTTGAAATAAAAGGAATTGAAAAGCCAAATCCTTGACAAAGAAAACGGTTTTATCATGAGAAGTGTTCTGCAACTAATGCATCTATAGTTGACCTGAGTCTGGCGGGTGATTAAAACATGGTATTTGTCCAATCTCACTTCCTGAGGGTCAAATGGCTGAAGACCCAGGGACCAGGCAGTGATACTACAGCACGCAGAAAAACAGAAGCAACAGTGTGCCCGTTACATCCTAGGAAATGACTAAGATACTGTAGTGACCCTGCCAATAAAGAGAACAGGACTGAACCAAGCCAGCGGCAGAAAAGAGAACAGACAGAATAAATGAAATCATATAAATGATAAATGGAAATGTCCAGTAAACACGTGGGAGGAGATGAGACCACGTAAGTTTCCAACTTGAGTAGACAATACCTATTCACCAAGATAAACATACAGGAAGAGCAGGTTTGGGAGGAATCAGAAACTTCCAAGTGGGGTAGCCAGTTGTGAAAAAACAAGTTGGGAGCTCAGTAAAGAGGGCTAGACCAAATAGGCTGAGAAGCCTAAAAGGGAACAGATGAAACCATGTGTGCAGTTTCACACAGTAAGAGCATCTAGGAAGAAAAGCAATCAAATCCTGGAGGAACTGAAGAGGGTTTCAAGATTTGGAAAGCCACAAATAACTTTCACATCTCAACAAATCAAAATCTGCAAGCAGAATATACTACTATTTACACAAATGACTTAGTAAAAAGGGGAGGGTCATCCTCAAGCCAAGAGTCTCCGCTGGGAGGGTTAGGAAAACATGGCCATATCACTAAGGGAGAAGAGGTATTAGTATTACATGAAAACCACATTCAGCATATGATTTTCCAACCAACTAGAGAAAACAAAGGTCTACAAAATCAAAAAGGGGGATCATATGCCCCCCTCGCCCAAAAACCCACCATGACTTGCAAAACAAGCCTAAGTCTTGGAAAAAGAGGTCCCATGAGCCAGAGGCTGGCAGGGTCAGTCATAGTACACTCCCTGGCTGTATTTGCCAAGCAACCTTCTCATAAGAATGTGGCCTGTCTGCAGAGAAATTGTATTGATCTTCAACCTAAGTATTCTGGTGTACTTGATACCTGTTGCCTTTCAGTATAAATACGCATTCAGGTCAATACATCACTCTTTTGTTTTGCATGAGTCCACCCGAGAGAGAGGTCAATTCTCAAGTGACAGATTTGCTTTCAGTATCTCCACGGCTGAGGGCCAAACTGTGATGAAGAAATACTACCTAGGGGACTTCTGGTAACCAGATAGAGAGCTTACCTTGGAGGCACTCCAGCCTCACTTCAAGGCCTTCCCGCAAAAATACAGCAAGCGCTTTTTCTTTTGAACCAAAAAATTAAGAAACAATTACAAACAAGGAGTGTAATTCATTAATATTTTTATTTTGAGTTGCAATCTATTATTACTTCAAAAAGATCCACTTCAGAAAACATCCAATGGATGTTGACTTACCATTCAAAAAGTAAGTCATCAATGTATGATTTATAATACAGAATACACAATAAATTATATTTACATGCAATTACTAGACTACCACACACACAAGGTAAAAAAATACAGTATTTTTATGTACATTTTTTAAGATTTACATTTTCATATACAATTTATAAAGTTAAAAAAAATTCTCTGTACAAAATCTCATGGGTACAGAGTTTCTAAATCCCTATTCTTACGGCCGTACCACCACACAGATATGCTCCAAACTAGAATACTACAAACACTTTTTTTTTTAACTTCATGTTCAGTCTTGGCACCCATATACTAATATCATTATTTTTGAAATGTGAATTACAAAGGAAATAAACATAATCATGCAGACTTTTTGAATATAAGAAATAAAATATGCTACTAGATCAACATTTATCCATTCCACAGTTACCTAGTTCTCTTCAACTTCCTGCACTGCTTTCATACAGGTGCATGCATAACTAACAGATTATGGATTGTTTTAATAACATTAAAATAATACTATAGTCTGACAATACTTAGGTATTAAAAATGCAACTATCTAACAACCATAGCCTGTCGAGTATTTCTGCTTTAGCAGAAACTTCAATTAACACATTACATACTAAAATTCACAGAAATGTCAGTATTGTAAGTTCTAAGTTTATAGAGTCTGCATCAGAGAGTAACTAATCATTTAAAAAACAACAAAACAAAAAGGTGTATGACAATGAAGAGTATATTCTCTGTTCTGAGACTGGAGAGTAGGGGAGATCTATGATAAACCATTAAAGGGTTATCCACGGTCCCTGCTAAGGAAGCACCTGTACACTCCCAATCTGTTTAAATAAAGACAGGTGAAGGCTTTATAAAAAGTTTAAGCTACACTATTCATCTTTAAAAATCTTCTTGAAAAGTAACAAATTGAAGGTATCAGCACCTTCCCTCCTCCCCCAAGTAGCTAAAGATCAATGAAAAAAATAAAGTGCCAATGTGTAAAACATTAATCGTTTAAGAGGCACTAACCCATTTGATGGCTTAGGATTAAATATGAAAATAGGCCAGATCTGATCTGAATAATAAATAGAAGGTAGGTATTCCAGTCTATGCAGTTTCTGCCTAGATGGGGGATGGACCAGAAAACTACCTACTCCCCCATTTATTGCTTTGAAACCTGTACACACACTTTATATTCTGACACAGACCAATTAGATTTCTAAGATGGAAAGCATAGTGTCTGTGCCACTTTGAAGTTGAAAAAGAAAGTGCACTCTTGATCACTGGAAGGAGAGCTGCTGAGACTCTCTTCACAACTCATATCTTCACAAGAGTCTTCACTAAAGGGAAGAAAAGAGACAAAGATTCCATTATTTAGAAAATAAGGTTTTAAAAGCCAAATAAAACTACTAAACAAGTATCTCCAGTCTCAGGATTTTTATATTCAAAATTTAAGATTTACAGAGACAAAATTTAACTTATAAGGATTTCCTAAAATGAATTGTAATTTATTGTAATTTCCTTAGAAAATACAGATTTTAAGAGATTTAGACAAATGACTATCTGCCAAACTATTATTCTTGTGCCAGTTAATAAATATCAGCAACTAACTGTACAATTCTAAGCATTTTAAATCCAGTAAGTGGAGACAAAGGACAACATATCTCCCATCACATAGTTTTGATGTCTTTCTTGCATTAATAATTGTATCCCTGACACTCTCAAACCAAGAAACCAGTAAGCTATAAAAATGAAACTTCTCGTTATCTCTAGAGCATGAAATAACCAAATTTGATAAAATTATTCCTTTTATGAACAAAAATTAACTCTGACCAAGACAATGGCATTTGACAAAATGGTAAAAATATCTAGAGAAGTCTAGAGACGTTGGTGGTGGTTCCCTTTATTTTCCAGTCATTTAACCCACAGCCTCTTCCTGAGGCACTGGATTAGGAATTCATACTAACCCTGAAAAGCTCAGAATGCCACTTCAGGTTTTGTTTGTTTTTAAACTAAACTGTATTTCAATGAGCAAGGAAGATGTGAAACAACCAGTTTTCAAAAAGGGAAGGAATGAAATAAGTCAGACAGGGGAAGGACAAACACTGTACGATCTCACTTACGTGTGGAATCTAAAAACGAGAAAAACAAAAACCAGAACTGCTAGATTCAGAGAACAGATTGGTGGTTGCCAGAGGAAGGGGATGAGAACAGGTGAAAGTCGTCAACAGGTACAAACTTCCAGTTACAAATCCTGGGGATGTAATATAGAGCATGTTTTGTTTTGTTTTGTTTTTAATAAAGAAAAAAGGGGGGGGAATGTGGGGCATATACTTCTAAATCATCACCTACTTTAGTAAAACTACCTCTAGCTAATTTTCCCACCTGAAGAAATGATGCTATTGGAGTAGGGGCTTTCTCTAATACCCTGTAATATTCCCAGGTTCCATTTTGAGTATAAAACCAGTGTTACTTACTATGGGTAACTCTAATTAGTCAAGGAACCTGCTTACCTTTCACTTTCATCAAAACAACCCCCCTCTGGTATCGTTGGCAGCTCAGGAACACTGTAGTAGCTGTTGTGGAGGTTCTGGGCTGTGCGCCTTGAAACAATCCAAACCAATTTCTTAAGATCTGGTTTGCAACATTCAGGAGAAGAATATTCGGCTAGGCATTTAGAAACTAACTCCCTCCAATAAATGAACTCGGTGTCATTAACCTAGAAAAAATATTTTAATTAAGAGGTTAAATACCTTAGAATCACCCTATAATGCCTAAAATTTACTGAAGCCTGGCTCCCACCATCAGATATTATTTGATACGGGATGTGACCTGGGCATCAAGATTTCTTTAAAGCTCCGCAAGTGATTCTAATGAGGAGTCAAAATCTGGTAACCACTGGTTTAAAGGAGGAGCACTGTAGGTATAAATAATTTACATAGAACCTAATAAAAATCTTTGCCTATTTTAAGAAAATACATTGACCTAAAAACATTAGGTTAACCAACCTATTAAGTATATTCTTTAATAGTCTCAATGAAAAGAATTTAACATAATTTAGGTTTCTATAACATAGCATTGTGTGGATTGCTAAAAGTATGCATTTACATTAAGACACCAGATGTATGCTAATGGAGAAGTTAGCAATATGACAGAAGAGGAATTTCTCCCAAAGAGCACAGTTCCTCCACCACTGAGGAGTGCCCCAGATTATTTCAATGAATAAATTTTCACTCAAGATATTTCCAGATGGGGAATCTGGGTGGCTCAGTTGGTTAAGCATCTGCTTTGCGCTCAGGTCATGATCCCAGGGTCCTGGGATGGAACCCTGCATGGCACTCTCTGATCAGTGGGGAGTCTGCTTCTCCCTCTCCCTCTGCCTGCCACTCCAATTGTGCTCTGTGTCAAATAAAATCTTTAAAAAAATATATTTCCAGATATTATAAAAGGTTTAAATTAAAACTAACAAATTCATGATTTAAATGAAAGCTAGAGGGGCGCCTGGGTGGCTCAGTCATTAAGCGTCTGCCTTCGGCTTGGGTCATGGTCCCAGGGTCCTGGGATCAAGCCCCGCATCGGGCTCCCTGCTCAACAGGAGCCTGCTTCTCCCTCTTCCACTCCCCCTGCTTGTGTGCTCCCTCTCTCACTGTGTCTGTCAAATAAATAAAAATCTTTGAAATAAATAAATAAATAAAAGCTACAAGTTATCTGCCAAAAACAAAATGCTTCACAATACTTTCATCACAAACAGAAAATTTTATATCATTTTTGTCTCCACTACCACCTAATTCAGCTACATCTTGACCCCCTTGTAATCTGGCAGTCCCGCTTCTCATTCTACGGACGCCTCCTTCTAGGTATCTAAAAACCTCCTTCAATTCTTTTTACACTGGGTCTTTCATCAAAATTCAGTACTCCTGACTTGCAATACTTCTTGAAAACCTTTTTCCAACCTGACAGTGCACTTGTCTCATGGACCCTCCTTCCCTTGCCTCCTAAGGGGGAAACCACCAACAATGAAAACCCAGAGTTTCAACTAACCCCTAAGCAAAGAACTCCCACAAGTTTCTTACGGTTTCTACTATTATTTCTTCATGAGAAATTTCAAATCTCAATCTCCAACTACAATTTATCTTCTGAGTTTTTATTCCAGGCTGCCAAATATCTGCTAAATACCTACCCACCTGAAAGACCTACAAGAACCTAAAATCATACTTCTCCGGTCACAAATTAATTTCTCTCAAACTTCCCTTGATGATATCCAATATTCTCCCCATCATTAGGTTCAAATCTTGGCCATTTGTGACTCCTTGTCTCATTTCCATGCTTGGCTTCTAAAACTACTATTTGAGTTGGATATCCTTACTCCTGCTTGTGACTATCACCTAGACATTCTAACACTAAGCCTACATTAAATAATTCCCAAACCCTTCTAGTCCACCGGCTTCCTGACCACAAGCCTTTGCTACCCAAACTTTCATTGTCTAAGATTCTTTTGGTCCAACCAGTCAGAGTGCCTTTCACAGTCTGCCCTACTTCTGTGCTAACGAAACGCCAAAGCACTCCCTATTAGTATTAACACCCCTTACTGAAAAACTTATTGGGCCGGCCAGACTAAGAGATTTAAAAAGAAAAACATGGCTAAGTTATTTTGGTAATGCTACTAATGGGATGATGATTCAGCCCTACAGATGTAATGGACTGCCATTAGCATATTTACTAAGTCTACTTCCTAGTATGTATTTTAGAACAATGTGCACGTAGCAATGTGGACCACTGTGTTACCAACTGGTGAGAATACCAGAGAAGGGACAAAACATCTGAACACAGAAGCTACGCTAAGTGATCAGGTTCCCCTTCTAGCTTAATACTGTCTGCGTCAAAGCTGCATTTTGAGAACTTGAATACTTGAGATACAAGAAAAAAATATAAAAGTTAAAAGCCCCATAAATTATTACTTAATGTTTAAACCACTACAGGGGGGAAAAAATGAAACATTAGGAGAGAAATTTGCTTTAAAGAATAAGAACTGAAGATAATTTACCTTGGAATGTTTTTTAACAAGCAGAAGAATTTCCAGTAATTCAATGGATTTCAAAGTTTCTACTTCCAAATTGAGAAGGCACAAAGCTAACACAGATGGCTAAAAAAAAAATAAAAATAAAAGTATTTTTTAAAAAATTCAAAATAGAAACAGTGAGACATATGTAAGCAAGCAATCAACTTACTTTTGCTTTTGAAAAGATAAGTCGGCAGTTGCAAGCTTTCAGCTGAGCTTCTAGTTTATCTAGACTAAGTATTTCTTTCCTATACAATGAAAACATAAGACAAAATATTTATTTATTAAACTTCCGAAGATTTAAATGATTTTAAGAACTTGCTGCTGAAAACTCAAGTTGAAAATTTAGAGGAGTAAAAATATAAATTTCACTGGCATTGTAACGGTTAGCTACAGGGATGCTAAAGTACAAAATTTTTTTTTGTAATCCCACTGACCTTTCTGATGTATGACAAAGTACAATAGTATGGTATAAGTGCAAAAAGTTTAAGGCAGTAGTTGCTTCCAATTCATAGTGCAATTTTTCTGAAATTATTTTTTCCATCCGTTTTATGTCAGAAGCAGTACATTTACATTGACTAATCCGGATTACATCATGAGTGGATGGAATATTGCATTCTTCTTCAACTATTCTAGCAGCCAGCAAAAAACAACAGACTCCAATGCAAGACAAATGTTTAGGTTTCACCTGAAAAACAAAAGAACAAAGGCTTCTTCTAACAACTGTCACTCTGATTTAGCAAAGCAGGCACTTAAAAGATTATAATGATGTCCCTAACTCTTAAGACAGAACACAATCTAGCTGCTTCAAGTACTTACCCTTATTCACAATTATACTTAACCATTTTTACATTTTAAACTGAGCTAACTTCCCCTTAAAAAAAGCATTTTAAGCATTTAAATTAAGTAATTTAAATGCAAATTCATAAGGTAGGTTTCTAACACTGAATCATACTTTGTGTTTCAAACATGAAATTCGTAACAGTACAGTCTCCCCCAAAATAAATTAAGCCTTTCAACACGGAGACAATATATACTTCTTTGGATATAAACATAATACATGCGACTTATTTTTTTATCTTCTTCTCTATCTTTTTTTAAATTTTTTTTTAAAGATTTTATTTATTTTTCAACAGAGAGAGAGAGAGACAGCGAGAGAGAGAACACAAGCAGGGGGAGTGGGAGAGGGAGAAGCAGGCTTACCGCTGAGCGGGGAGCCCAATGCGGGACTCGATCCCAGGACCCTGGGATCATGACCTGAGCCGAAGGCAGAGGCTTAACGACTGAGCCACCCAGGCACCCTCTCTATTTATCTTTAAGTATCATCCCACATTTCAATGCAAATTTGCCCAAGAGAAATATTGCATCAGTTGTGCAGAGCAGAGCATATGTAAAAGCTGCCAAGGACAGATGGCTGCCTTTTTCTTTTCAGTGCCCTGAAAACTGACCCAGCAGCTGACAGCAATCCTACTGGCAGAAGAATCACCACATTTTTCTAACAGTTGCTGGTTAATAAGATACGGCTCCCTGCTATGAAAAGACTTCTCACAGGGAAGGCAGTTAGGTCACCTTTAATATACTGCTATACTTCCATTTGTCATGTTTCGTATTAAAAACAACTAAGCTCCAAGAGAAATGTGATGGGAGATAAAAATATGAAAACCTTATTTTGAGGACTGTACATGTATATAGGAAATACCTAAAAAACAGTGGTCTCCATTTTGTCACATCTTCAAAAAGAAGGTATATAAACGGTAACAGCAAAACCTAACTTAAAATACAACACAGTTAATTCTGTAGTCTCTCACTCTGGCACTGAAGATCACAATTCCAATTAAAAATGTTTATATGTAGTGACATAATTACATTCACTTGTCAAACATTTATCTAACCCTTGTATGTTAGGCACTGTGCTGGGCACTAGGTTTAGAAATATAAAGATGCATATACAAAAATGATTACATACCTTCATAAGAGCCAAGAATCTATCTAAAATATTGACAGCCAGGACAAAAGTTTCAGTGCAAGATCCAAAAAAGTTGGTTAAACTCCTTAAATCTTCTACTTTGGCATTTCTCAATCTTGGACACAAAGTGTTATCATCCTGCAATAAAAACCAAGAGCCAAAGTTATGACTTTTTTAGAACTAGATGGATAAATACACACAATTAGATTCAAATAAGGTAATTTTTTTTCTTAACCTTCAAGAATATGGGAGGAAAGAGTATTTAACTAATGATACACTTTTTCAGACACAAGACACAAATATATATATCATGGCTTTTTAAAAATATACGGCATAAAAGAGCTTCAGCAATCCAATATAAAGTGAACTGTTGTCACACTTCCAGAGGGTTAGAGCAAATGTAATTCCCCTATAATGGAGACAGTTTGTTTTATTAAAAAAAAAAAAAAACACCAAAAATTCTACTGTAAAGTATTTCATGGGCAGAGGGTATTTCCACAGATGAATTACTCAGTTCCCAGGGAGTGTCCCACCCAGAAGCTGCAGGTTGGGGGTGCCACATTTGAAGAAACACTTCTCTAGAGTTAGTATCACTCTCATTCTTGCATAACCCTGTAAGATTTATCTTACTATTCTAGAAGACAAATTTTGGTCTTAAGAAACTTTGCAGCCTTTAATCTTGATTCAACTGGGGCGGGGCGGGGGGGGGGGGGGGCCAACCTTTTCCCAGCCCCCTCAGCTGCTTGAGCAAGAAGATATCTTTTCTGGGAGCTTACCTCCGGGGTAGCCTCGATCAAGCTTAGCCCTTTTTCTCGAGGTTGGAATCTCTGTTCCTGTTCCAGATAGAGGTTCAACAATCCGAAGAGCTGGACCCCTTCACGACCCGCCAAATATTCTGCCCCCAAATCCTTCATCTGCAGCAAAGACACCACGCAGTTAGAGGGTACCCTGGGGGGAAGGTTAACAGGGGGGAGTGGGCAGAAAAGAGCTAGTGCCAATACCTCCAGGGAGAGGCGCCCCAGCACACCCCGGCGGGCAGCGGGTGAGGGGATCGGTCACGTCCTCCAGAAGCCCAACGCAATCCTCCCCCACCTCCAGGGAGGTGTGGCAGGAGGAGGGGCAGCAGTCTGGTCCGCCGGCCAGCGCTCGGTCAGACCCGCCGGCCCCGGCCTCTTGGCCGTTTCAGAAAGAGGAAACTGTCCCGGGGCGGCGGTGTCCGGACAGCCGCCCCACCTGAAGCCCTGTGGGGAGGGGCTTCTCCCCGCAGAAAGCTCCCGGGGCAGCTACGGCAGTGGGTCTTGGGGTGGGCGCTTTGCACAATAGGGGGGAGGGGAGAGAAAGTCTCGCGACTGAACAAAGAACCGGAGGGAGGAGACTCCCGAGCCCCGCCTCTCCCGGGGAGCCCAGCTCCAGAAGCCCCTTTCGCTGGAGTCCAGCCCCCAAGCCTTTCCCATCCGCTACCGCAGAGCCTACTCCGGAACCACCCGAGTGGCAAGACCGTGATCCGAGAGAGCAGTAGGGTGGCGTGGCCCATCAGTCGGGGGGACAGACGTTCGGCCCACCCCGTGCCCGGACAACACCCGTCCATCCACTGAGGCCCAGGTTCCTCAAACTGTGCTGAGCCCCGGGGCTGTCAATCCAGGAAGCACCACCCCAGCGAGCCCCCGTGACAAAATGGGGGGGGGTGCAACCAAAGAATTGTCTTCAGCCTCCTCGACTCTACTCCTACCTCCAACATTTTTCCACGTCCAATGCCCACTCCCCCGGCTGAGGGTAGGACCGGAGTCGCTCCCGGGGCTGAGGAATGGGTACTCCGACACCACCAACCCCCACCAAGTCCCAGCCACGAACAAAGAAACCCCGCGATCCCCCGCGAGCCCACTCACCGTGCCGGAGACGCGCCTCCACCAGCCTGCGGCGTCACGGTCCAGGGAAGACTGGGCGCGGCGGGGACGTCCGAACCCGTCTCCGGAGGTCAGGGACCCGCCGCCTCAGCGGTGCCCCCGGACAGGCATCGGACCCTCCCCCCCCGCCACCGCCTCCTCGCCCTCACAACCCGAGCTTCATCCCGCTCCCTGTGCGCCCACCCTCCAGCTGGGGCGCAGCGCCGGCCCCTCCAACCCTGCCCCTCTGCCGGCACCGCTGCCTCCACAGCGGAGGCCGAAGCAAACCCCTTGTTTTTGTTTTTGAGTTTTCGACGCCCCCAAGGGGGCGGGGCACGTGACTCCCCGCGGAGGGATCCTCGGCTTCCGCAAAAGACTTTGAAAAAGAGTCCCGCCCCTATACTACTGTCCCCAGCCGTATTTGTGCCCTCCTCCCCTCGCCTTTGCTTTGCCGAGCCACTCCTCCCTCTCGGTCTCAGGGCGGAGGGTGGAATCTAAGAGTCGGCTTTCTCCGATTGACCCTGAAGGGGAAAGGAAAAGGAGTGAATACGTTTGAGAGGCGGAAGGAGATAGTTTCTGGTCGCATTGCACCTTTTAAAGGTCCCCATTTGTTTTGTTTTCGCTGTTTTGAAAAGTCCGCCCAAAGCAGCCCCCTCTCCGATTGGATACTGGTAGAGGGATCAGAATGCTGAGCATCTGATGCACTCTCGAATCTGGATTGGCTGACTGATTAGCCTTCGAGCCCTCTGATTGGCTTTCGTCTTATCCAGAGCTTCTATCTTCCTTGGGACCTTAGCAACTCTGGGGTCTGGATTGCGCATGCCTGATAGCGCCGAAGGAATTTATAGACCTGACCCTGGGGTCTAGCCCTTCCCACCCCCACCTCCCCCACCTCCATTGGTTCCTGCCGTATGCTACTCGTACCTCCCGGGAACTGTAATAGCTAGGAACCCTTTATTTTGTTCAGCGGGTCCATTTTACTGTAACAGTCAAGTTATTATAAAATTGTCGGGGTGTTTACTGAAATTTTTACGAGTAAAATGCTCTCATCTCTCGTATTTGCTTTAGAGTTTTTCGTACCAAGAGGAAAAAAAATGGAGATGGGAGGTGAAATGCGATTGGCAAAAAGTTAAGAGTTGGTGAGGGTGGGTGATTGGTACAAGAGCGTTTGTTGTAACTATTCTTTTTAATTTGATGTGTCTTGAAATTTTTCTGTAATAAAAATAAATGTACAAGGGGGGACTTAAAAGGAAAAACTTAACCTGTGCATACTGATGAGGGCACGTAAACATTTAATAATTATAATATCTTGCCTCCAGAGGTTGTAATTGTGCTGTTGTTTTAATGAAAACTCCCAGAGGCTTCTTGGTCCTCAGTCACCCATAAATTATCATTTATTGTCCATTATAATTAACATTATTAAGAGGCGACACCTCTTCTGAGGCGAGCAAAAAGCAGAACAAGAGTGCCTTAGGCTAGAGAAACCTTCACACAGAACATCTTTGGGGGATGTAAGAGACTCCCTTCTAATATATATGGTTACCTTTTTTACTTTCTTCCTCCTCAGTCCCTGGCCACTGTCAGCCAAATACACAAAGCAGTAAATAGCATATTCTTGAGTTCTAATCTAAATAATCAAATCCAAGGAACAGATTTCTCTGTGAATTGTTTTGTTACTTGTAAAATATGAGAAGGCACACAACACAGCTTTAGAAGCAATTTTATCTTCTTTCCAGAGCAGCTGAAGAATTTTAGAAATAGATCCTTTTACATATTTGCTGGGACTAGACACGGGAGTCTGGAGCTCAGAGCAACTTGGGGAAAGGGGAACTGGAAGAGAAAAAACCTATTTCAGGGAGATGTGGCCTTGTTTGGGATTTTGGGAAAGAAATAAAATTACATTAACGGATTACTTTCAAATGGTTTACAGGTTGCCTAATTTTGTGCACAATTTGTGTGATCTTTTAAACATTATTAAAATTATTGTTTTTATTTGACATAAACTTTTTTGCTGGAAAACATGAATGAGGGTATGCAAATAACATGGAAAATAAAGCTAAGATTAGAATTCCACAGATAACAGCTCATTGCAGTATATAAAGAGGCTCCAGAGAGAGACAGAAAGCAGCTGGACAGAAAACATGCACCATGAGAGAAAGGAGAGTTTGTGGCCAAAACATGAAGGAGGTTGGGACTTTTTCAAGTAAGAGGGCAAAGGTAGAAAAGGAACATAAGATAGAAAATAAGTGATGTGAAAGAGGAAATGTAAAATTATGTGGTAGAAGATTTTTTAAATAGAGATGGCATAAGACAAAAAGGAAGAGATTAAGAAATAAGAAATTGTCCTTGACTTAGATCACTGACTGTTAGAAAGTTATACAAAATGTATTCTATATGATATTTCATAATTGGTATTTTTTTGTATCTTTTATCAGGCAGCCTTTTGAATGATGAGCAGTTCTCTAAGAATGCAACAAGAAAGCTTGCTAAGTGGTGTTCAGTTTCCTGGTTTCTTGGCAGGCCCTGTTTAGTACAGGAGAAAAGACTGATCAAATTGTCCAATATGGAGCCCTTTATCCACTTCAGTCCATTTACCTTTTTAAGGTAAAGGAAATAGCAATCATTAAAAAATATTGGCCAAGTATAACTACTTGAACATCATCCTTTTTTTCAAAATACCTCCTTTCAACAATGATGATATTCTGGGGGAGAAGATGATGCAAGTTTTCTCCTTTTGTTCTGCTGATTTTTTTGATTGGTTGTTATTACAGCCTTCATTTTTTCATTTTTCCCTCTTTCTTTTTATTTCTTTTTTTTTTTTTTTTATGACAGACTTTCTCCGGGCTCTATTTTTCTGTCTTTATCACTTTGGTTTACTTTGCTACAGCTGTGGGTCTTGTTTATTTAAAGGACATTCTCCCCTAGGCACCTGTCCGCTACCTTTCAGTCCTTCCTCAGCTTTCTTGTGGGTGACTTTCGTGCATCAGGCACACGTACAAAATAGGGAATCGGACCTCTGGCAGTCCCCAGGAAGGACTTTGAGGGGATTTATTTCATTAGAAGATACTTGGTCTCCTATAGCACAACGGGATTGGGTGATACCCTGTCCCCAGTGGTTACTGGGGGGGAAGGACAGACATGGACCTTGTTGTCCTCAGTGACATCTGAGACTATGAAACTAGAAGGTGGGCACAGAGCAGGAAATAAGCAGTAGCACAGCTACAGCAACAATGCCTTCATTCAGTGAATCCTTGACTTCTGAGGAGTGTCCTTCAAACCACTCAACACTTCAGCTTCTACCTTGGAAAGAAAATAGAGTATCTGCAAAGCAGCTCTGCAACGGCTGCCCTTCATGCTATATACTTGGACTTCCCTGAACTTCGTAAGGCATCCAAATTGCCTTACAACTGTTTGGATAGCATCCTTCTCCTCACAAGTGAAAGTTTTAAACAATAAATCCCAACTTTTTATTTAACATTTATTGAATATATACTCAATGCCAGGCATGGTACTAGGCCTCAGGGATACAAAAATAGGTAGATAAAACAGAGTCCCACAACATGCCCTGGTACATCTGAGGTGTAAGGCAAAAGCTCTAACCAAGGAATCAGAACACCTGACTTTGAGTCCCAGCTTTCTTACTTAATAGAAATAGCACCTTAAATACCTTGAATAATGTGAATTGTTCTGAACCTCAATTTTCTAATCCAAAAAACAAATAGGGGGGAATAATCACCAGGGGGTAATTGTTTCTTCTTCATATGTAAAGATTAAATAAAAACATTGGGTTTTTTTTTTAAAGATTTTATTTATTTATTTGAGAGAAAGAGAGAGAGAGCGTGTGAGCAAGCATGAGTTGGGTGGGGGGGCAGAGGGAGAAGCAGACTCCCTGCCAAGCACGGAGCCAGACATGGGGCACGACATGGGGCTCGACACGGGGCTTGACATGGGGCTTGACATGGGGCTCAATCCCAGGACCCTGAGATCATGACCTGAGCCAAAGGCAGGCGTTTAATCCACTGAGCCACTCAGGGTCCCTAGATAAAAACATTTGTAAAAGTACTTTTACTTCCGTGTTAGGACTTGCACAATGCTGTGACTTCTTGAGGGAAAAGAAAGGACCATCCCTAACTTTATCAAAGGAATTCGTAGAAAGCAGCCCTGAAAGGAAAGAACCTCATATCAGGACTGGTAAAGCTGACATAATGCCACATTCCCTTTCCCATCCATTTACTATTTCTGGCTCCATGCCTTGGCTATTTTCTGTCACTGAGGTGTTTTGCAGCCCCAAACTCCCTGTTTAGATTAACCTTTCTAGGAGAACCTAGCAAAGGGGACAGGAATGCTTGCTGGAGGGAAAGGAACAGGGCAAGCATAAACTAACCTGGGGTGCCGTCTTGAAGTGATTCAGCTTTTTCAACCAAGTGCTCATTTTTTTTTAATCTGAGCTTGAAAGAATGAGACAATTTACATGCAGACAATTAATCCCTTTCTTCAAGCAATCAGCAGGATAAATGAGCAAACATCTCATATATTCTGCTTTGTGACTTTCTCATGGACAAACTCCAAATCTGAAATTAGCAAATTCAACATTTATAACCTATTTACTATATAGATATCTTGTTACTGTTGTTGTCAATGATGGAAGCGTGTTGTATCTTTCTGAGTGTTTATCTACGCAAGGGTTAGTGATATTCATAACACAGTTAATTCGCAGATAGTGGTGTGCTCAGTCTCGTAATTGTGGGACTTAACCCACACCATAGAGACCTTCTGAATGAGCGCAGCAGGTTTTCCAGCCAGCCAGGTTAGGCCCTCCCAGTTCCACTAGCCTGCAAGTGAGTTAGCCTTATACAACTATCTCTGAAACCCTTGAACTAAATGTGCATTTGACCTCAGCATCCCAACTCATTATTTTAGTATCCAGAGCTCTTTCTGTTATGCTAAAAGTTAACTGAAACAAATGGCGTAGCTTTGACATGGCATTGAGAGACTGCTAAAGGAGTATGCCACTGATAATATGGCAATGCTTGAAATCAGAACTGATTATCTCAAAATGGTGGGTCTGTCTCAACGCAAATATACTTTCAGTGACCCAGGCTGCATTATGTTATTATTTACATAACACATTATTCTTTTATGATTTGTTCTGAGAACCATAATCTAAGTCAGATATTTCCTATTCTTTCTTGCCATCACAGTGCTATGGGAAGTTGATACTGTCAGCAAAGAATCATTTAGGAAACATCTGTTGAATATATCATCTTAGTCCTAAAGGAAGTTTTCATTTTCTGCGAAAGTAATTATCTCTTATTTTGAT